TTTGAAAGAAAAAAGATCCCACCTATTCAAAAGTATGGTGATATGTAATTTCCACTATATAATATTCAATAAAGTCCAAACCCAATAAGCGGGTTCCATTCAAAATTATGTCAAAATCAGTGTTCTAAAAAGTTCGCTTAGATTCGAAACTCAGGAAAACGTCTCGCTTCGCATCTGGACGTTTTTTTTTCCCAATTTCTAAACTGAATTTTTTCCTTCCCCTCTTTCGTTTTCCCTATGTGAAATTTATTAGTTTTTTTTTTTTAACTTTTTTAAAAGTCTTTGATTTTAACTTGTTATTATTTTTTATTTTTAAAAAAACTTTTCGCACCAAACGAGGGCTATATTAACTTGACATTTGGTTTTTAAATAAACATAAAAATATTCCTAATTTCAAACTTTAATTACTTCAATTACAAGACAAAATTAATTCACACGTGGAATGCAATTTAGCAGCTTCCCGGAAGACATGCCATCTCGTAGTTTGCAATAAGTACCCTTTAATTATTAACGAAAAAATAATTACTAATTAAAAGTACAAATGCATGGACTAAACAAATACATTAAATCTAGGGAATTGGAGTTTAACGTTCCCAAACTGGAGACCCAAAATGATCGTCGATCATATTTTGATTGATTATTATAAGATTCAGTTGCCTAAAATCTTGCGCAAAAACTGACTTAATAAATAGTTTAAATGAAAAGTAAAAATTAAGACGACAACGTGCAAATTTAACTAACAAATCTGAAAATTTGGGCAAGATCTCTTGTTGTTCGTTCTAAACGAAATTGTTGACTAAGATAATGAACAAGCTCAACTAGTAAAATATAAATTTATAGGTCAAATTCCTCATTATTTGTTTGAATTTCAAATGCCCAAAGAGTTTCAAGAATCAACTTTGGATTAAACAAAAGTAAAAACTTTATGAGAAATAATATACAATTGACAAAAATTTACGCAACATTCCTCTTGTTCATTTGAAATTAAAATGTCCGATGCTTTCAAGAATCAACTCAGTGGGAAGGAATACTAATTCCATGTTAGTTGAAAAATAAAAATTCACCAAACCCATAGGAATTCGTTTTCTAAGAAAACAAAGAAAATGCATCTTAAAGTGATTGTACTTTGAAATTCAATTTCCATTTTCACGTTGCAATCAAACAGCCAAAGTTGAATTCGTTTTGCTCTGATATGACATTTTTCATGGAATTCGTTACAATCAAACATGGTCTTAGTTCTATATTAGAAGTAAAATTACAAGTATATAAAGAGTTTTCTTTCAAATTTAGAAATTATGTTCTTTTTTAAATAAGAAAATGTTTTATAATCGACTTTAAATTGGCTCCAAAAAAGGACACACGACGAGTGCTTTTTGACTTGGGCTTGATGTAGAAAAACTGAGGTATGACAAAAAAGTGCGTGCTAATTGAACTAATAACATTGTTAATATTAGGCAACATTCCTCTTTGTTTATTTGAAATTCAAATACCTAATACTTTCAAGACTCAATTTAGTCAAATTAGAA